CCTCCTGGTTCTCTTTCTCTGCCCAAACCCTGACTGATAAACCAGATCTGTCATTTCATCTGTAAATAGTTTAGCAACTATCTGAATGGTAAGGATTCTTGAGAAACAACCCACCATTCCATTATCTTACCTAAACAAAAATGAAAAGCAGTTCTTTGATATCATCAAATGCTCAGAACTCCAATTGTCACATTCTTTTATAATACTAAAAGTATTTTTGAATGAATGATTTTTTTCAGCATCTTTAGTTAAGGAGGGAAAAAGCACAGTCTGGGAAGTATTTCCCTTTGGCTCCAGCAGAGGGCATCGGGCCTCATGTGTCTAAAGGACAGAAGTTTGGTTTCTTCTAGAGCCTCAGTCTCTCCTCAGCCCAGCCCTTAGCAGAGCGTAGGCTTTTCGGAAATGTGTGATGAATGAATGAATGAATGAATGAATGAATGAGCAAAATAAATACTTTTTAAACTTGAATTCATTGGCTATACTCTGTGCCAGGCATCGGCCATGTGCTAAATTTTCTCTTATAACTGTCCCACGAGGTGTGGGTATTATCCTTATTTTATATATGAAGAAATCAAGGCTCAAAGAAATTGAAAGGCTTTATGATGATCATAGAGGTAGAAAATCTTTGAGTTAATCTAGATTTATAATGTTTATTTTTTTCGTGTCATGTAAGGCAATAGAAAATATACAAATGATTGATGAGGGACCTGGGTGGCTCAGTCGGTTGAGCATCCGACTTTATTTTGGCTCAAGTCAGGATCCCAGGGTCGTGGGATTGAGCCCTGAGTCGGACTCTGCACTGAGAATGAAGCCTGCTTACGATCCTCTCTTCCTCTGCCCCTCTCCTCAGCTTGTGCTGTCTCGCTCTAAAATTAAATAAATAAATAAATAAATAAATAAATAAAATATATAAATAGTTGAAGAAAGGTAATGCCTGTAATGACTGGCCAGTTATAGAACGTCACTGTCAACTCAGAAGCCGTGCTGTTATGGGCCAAATGTTTGTATCCCTCAATATTCATCTATTGAAGCCCTAACCACATTTGAAAATGGGCCTTAGGAGGTAATTAGAGTTAGATGAGGCTGTGAGGGTGGGGCCCTCGTGATGGGATTGGTGCCTTTAAAATAAAAGGTACCAGAGAGCTTACTGCCTTTCTCCCCACGCCAGCACAGAGGAAAGGCCAAGTGGAACTTCAGTAAGAAGGTGGGCTGCCTACAAGCCAGAAAGTGGGCTCTCCCCAGGAACTTTGGCCTCAGGCTTCCTGGCTTCCAGAACTGTGGGAAAATAAATGTGTATTATTTAAGCTACCTCGTCTCCTGTATTTTGTTATGGCGGCTCTAGCAGACCTAGACACTCATTTATCCCTTTCCAAATTTAAGAGTAATAATTTCCTTGAGAATTGTCTTCTGTGTTTGGTTTTGCCTGCTTTTGAACTTTGTATAAATGGAATTATACCATGTATGTATTTTTTGTGACTTGCTTTTTACCCTCAACGTTATCTTGGCAAAATCCATCCATAGGGAGCATATACATACAGTTCTCTTGTTCCCATGCTTTGTGGTATTTTCTAGTACACATACATCACTAATCACTGCATACCCTTCCATTTTATGGGACAGGCATCTTGGCCGCTGGTGAAAACATGCCTAGGCCTGTAGCCTGGTGTACATTAGAACACGAACGTCTAAGGTATATACCTTGGGCTAGAATTTTGGGGTCATTTAGTATGCATATTTTCAACTTTAAGAGACAATGCCAGAAAGGTTGCATTAAATCCCATCCCCACCAGCTGTGCCTGAGTTCCAGCTGTTCCCCACTCACCAACATTTAGTGTCATCAGAGGTTTTAATTTTGTCAAACAAGGAGTGTACTGTGTTAATTCATGGTAGTTTTTTTAATGTTTATTTATTTTGAGAGAAAGAGACAGCACGCGTGACAGAGAGAGACAGAAAGACAATGAATGGAGAGGGGCAGAGAGAGAGGAGAGAACAAATCCCAAGCAGGTTCTGCACTGTCAGCACAGAGCTCAACATGAGGCTTGATCTCATCGATCTCACAAACCTTGAGTTCATGACCTGAGCCAAGATCAAGAGTTGGACGCTCAACTGACTGAGTCACCCAGGTGCCCCAGTTCATCAGAGTTTTAATTTGCATTGCCCTGATCTATGCATGAGGTTGAGCACCTTTTCATATGTATTGGACAGTTAGATTTCTCCTTCTGTAAAATGGCTTTTCAGGCCTTTTGCCCATTCAGGAAACTTAGATCATTTGCTTTCTTCTCAACGATTTGTAGGAATTCTCCATATAATTTGGAAACTAGTCCTTCGTCAGTTACATATGTTGCAAATAACTCCTTCCATGCTGTGGTTTGTCTTTTCACTTTTACAATGGTGATTTTGGAGAGACAGAAGTTCTTAATTTTAATGCAACCAAATGTATCATATATCGTCTTACGGTTAATGCATTTTGCGTAATGCTGAAGAAGCTCTTCCCTTACTCAAGATCTTAAATATGTTCTCGTCCTTTCTGTTCTAAAACCTTTGTAGGTTACCCTTTCACACTGAGGCCTTTAACCAGCCTGCAAATCATTTTTGAAAATGGTATGGGGAAGGAGTTGAATTTCCTTTTTCCTCCATATGGAAATCAAGTTGTCCCACATCTTTTTCACTGCTCTGACATGACACCTCTGTCATAAGTCAAATGACTGTACATGAATGAGTATGTTGGACTACAACACTCTACAGCCAAACTCCTATCTGCTGGGTGACACTGCCTTTCCCTGTGACAGATGTGACAGAAATATGGGCTTTAGACTCAACCAGACCAGAATCTCCACTCAGTCTCCACCTTCCAAAACACTTATTAGCCGGGTGATGTTTATGAGCCCATGCCTTTCCTGCATGGTTGTTCTAAAGAATAGACACAATTTGTGATACCTGATCACTTGTATCTTCACTTGTTTTGGTTGGAGTCTTGGGGCCTGAGTTCTGTAGTATTAATTTTCTATTGCTGTGTCACAAATTTCCATAAACTTAGCTTCAAACAACACCCATGTGTTACCTCCTGGTTCTGTAGGTCAGAGTCAGCTGGGTTCTCTGCTTAGTGTCTCAAAAGGCTAAAATTGATGTGTCAATCTGGTGGAGCTCTTTCTTTTAAAAAAAAAAAACGCTTATTTTTGAGACACAGAGAGAGACAGAGCATGAGTAGGGGAGGGGCAGAGAGAGGAACACAGAATCTGAAGCAGGCTCCAGGCTCTGAGCTGTCAGCACAGCCCGATGCGGAACTCAGACCACGAGATCATGACCTGAGCCAAAGTCGGACACTTAACTGACTGAGCCACCCAGGCACCCCTACCTGGTGGCGTTCTTAACTGCAAGTTCTGGGGAAATATGCTCCCAAGTCCATGCAAGTTGCTGGTGGAACGTAGTTGCTCGTGGTTGCAGGACTGAGGCCCTGCTTTCCTGCAGGCTTTCAGCCGAGGGTTGCTCTTAGCTCCTAGAGGCTGCTCTGGGCTTCTCTCACGCCTGACCTCCTCTGTTATCATGGTAGCAACAGCACATCAAATCCTTCTCATGCTTTGAATCTCTCACTTCTGGAGCAAATACCCTGCCTTTACAGTTCATGTGAGGAGAAAACACCTCCCTGGCTAATCTCTCCATTTTAAGGTTAACTGATTAGCGCTCACACCTGCAAATCCTTCTGCCACGTAACAGCATAATCTCCCGAGTAACAGCAGAGAGCAAGGCGATGGGGCCGTGTCAGGTTTCTGCTTACCACAGTCTTACTAGATGTGTTACCTGGACTTCGGATTTCATCATGGTTCCTCCGGGAAGAATTCCTTGATGTAGGTCAGAAAACCTAAAACGCGTCATCAGCTATTCCGAAGCTATGCACATTGACTATGACTTGCTTCCATGGAACCCTGGCCCTCTTCCCTGCACAGACATATCTGTTTTTTCTTGCAAGCTCTTGGTGATTTGGGCGCTATTTTTATCTAATATCTCTATACTTAGTGTCCACGCTTCAGTCGTTTATGGAAATAACAGCAGTCGACAAATATGTTGAGAATATTACATTCTTGGCACTTATCCAAATCCAAGAGCACACCTGGCAAGGAGCTAGGCCCATAGTAGGTGTTTTTGAGATGTCTGTTGAGTGAATGAGTGATGAATGACAGGGTTTGCCCTTAAGTTAGGCTACTGTCTATTTTAGAAACAAGCCATATGCACACACGAGGTAAATAATATAAAAATTTACCTAACTAGTATTTAAAGGGTGATCCAGGAGATAGATCACTCTGTGTGTGTGTGTGTGTGTGTGTGTGTGTAAGGAAAGCTTTGTGGAAGAAGTGAGCTAGAATTAGGCCTTGAAAAACATGCTTTATTTGGATGGTTGGGAAGATGGCCCACAGGCTGGGTGGGAGACCTGTGTGAGAAGGAGCGCGTCTCAGGAAGGAAGCAGCCATTCCAGGTGGGCAGCAAGATCTGAGGCTCTAGCCTCACAAGTTCTGAATGTCAAATAAGGCATGGAAATGTGTGACTCAATTATCTCAAGGAGCCAAAGGCTTTTATCAAAGTGAAGCACTTTAGCTTCTCTGGAATGAAGGTGATATTAACACGTAATGCTCTTTTTTTTTTTTTAAATTTTTAATGTTTTATTTATTTCTAGGAGAGAGAGGAGAGAGACAGAGTGAGCAGGGGAGGGTCAGAGAGAGAGGGAGACACAGACTCTGAAACAGGCTCCAGGCTCTGAGCTGGCAGTCAGCACAGAGCCTGACGCCGGGCTCGAACCCACGAACCGCGAGATCATGACCTAAGCAAAAGTCGGACGTTTAACCGACTAAGCCACCCAGGTGCCCCTAACACGTAATGTTCTTAGTTCACTAGGAAAGTCTGTTCTTAAGAAAATTTTCCTCGTTTTAAGAAATTCCTCTCATATACCACTGGCATCCTTAGGAGAAAAAAAGTACTGTTTGCAAGGTCACAAACACACACGCTGCTGAGTCAAAATAAGAGTCCTTTATTTCACATTCAGCCAACAAACAACAATCTGGAATAATATTCACTTTTAGTTTGTAGCCATTGGGCTTGCTGGATTCTTTTTCATCCTATGTTGGAATGAAATGTCCCTGCAGCCTCCTCTTCTTTCCCCAAACTGAAGAAGTGTGGTACCATTGCAGAGAGGCCGGCCATCTAGGACGGTGGTACGCAAGGGTATCTCAGGGCAGTGCCAAGTACGCTTGCCCGAACGGGGTATGAGAGCACACGAACCACGCCCCCGTGAAAAAACGGCCCTAAGCAAAAGCCCCGCAAAGGCAACAGACCTGGAACTGACAGCCTCACTAGGAGTAAGTGTTTCACAGGAGGACCCAGCCACGTGACGGGGAGGTGAGAATGAAGGTAGGCACACCGGCAGCAACCTACTGATGGAACCCCACTCGGAACGGGCAGTTTCCTGGGAGACTTCCTGTGTTTCTGTCCTCCGGGTTCCGCCTGCATGACAGAGCCTGGCCGTGCCCACTGTCCTCTGGGGAAAGGAGTCTTCTCGCCCAGACGCTGTTATTCTACTGGCCTGAGGGAGCGCAGTGCTTATGGGATTGCTAAGTCTGAGTTAGGAATCAGTGGGAAGAAGCCTTAAAACGACATATCTGACTGTGTCAAACGCTCCATGGGCGCCTGCCAGCTTCCAAACTTGCCGGGGCGGGGTGTGTGTGTGTGTGTGTGTGTGTGTGGCATCTCTGAGGAAGGAAACACGCAAACTGAGCCCTGAGGTCAGTTCTTCAGCATTAAACTGTCGTATGCTCAATTCAGTGTTCCTCCAGGGCCCGTGGAGGGAAGGGCCGGACTTTGATGGCCTGCCTCTCCCCTGCCCCCAGTAGGTCAGCAGGTGCGTCGTAGGGCCTTTGGAGGAGCAACCAGTTGAGAGGCGCTTTGGCATAAATCAGTTATCAGAGAGGCACGTAACCTCGGTATTTGACTCCAGCTGCGCTTCCCAAAGATGGACACTTCGCCTGCGCTGTCCGGGGCCCCCCAGGCTGGTTCTGGGCCGCCCTGAGGCTCCAGGGGCTGCTTGGCGAGGCTCACTCGGAATCCAGCGTGCGGCCGAAGGCATGCTGGGAGTGTCTCTGCTTCCTGGCCGAAGCACACAGGTACACCAGGAGGGCCACACACAGCAAGGCCACTGCCGTGAAGAAGGCGACGGCGCCCACAAAGGCAGGTGCGTCCATGGGCAGGCGGATGAGGGCACTTTCGGCTGGGATCTGGTTGGTCAGGCTGAGCATGTAGCCCAAAGACCAGGCTATGCTGCTGTTCCCCACCTGCGCGGCAGAAAGACGGCTTAGTTCTCGGAGGCGCGAGGCAGGAATTACACACACACGCCGCTGTCGTCCCCACCAGAAGCTGGCGGCCTAGGGTCAAAGCACTTGCCCAAGTTCAGGCACTGCAGAGACTGGCTAGAATCCAGGTCACTGGGACCACGAAGCCTCAAGGGCCCGCTCTGCACTTTGGAGAAAAACCATCGGAATCCTCTCAGCCTGTCACAGCCAAGTGGAACGATGGCACAGTTAATAACCGCGAGAGTTTTTCTACTCTTTCCCCACATGTGTCTGTGGCTACGGTAAGAGGGCAAGGAGCGCTTCACAGAGCCTGGAGCCAGTTTCTCAGCCCAGGGGGTCGCGCTGGACAAGAAGCAGACTCGGTCAATTCCCCACGCTAATTCCATCAGGTTTTGTTTCCACACTTTCAGGCTGTTTTATTAGATACAGAAACGTTTACAGTCTACAGTCTTCACAATGACCCCTTCATCATTATGTTGGAATCCTCTGTATCTTGAATGACGCTCTTTATCTTAAAGACTATTTGGTCAGGTATTACATAGCTACCCAGAAATTTGAAAAGCTCAGTGACCCCTCTTTTCTTATGGGTAGTGTTTGCCCAATAGTTAAAAAGTTTTCTAACTTTCAAGCTTTCCATGTCCTTATGCTTAATGCCTAAGGGTTTCTCTTACAAACAACATATGCTTGGTTTTTAAAAATCCAATCTGACATATATCCAATCTGATATATATATGTATATATACACAACGTTCCCCTTTATTTATTTATTTTTTTTTTATGTTTTTATTTATTTCTAGTAGAGAGAGAGAGACAGCGTGAGCAGGGGAGGGTCAGCTAGAGAGGGAGTCACAGACTGAAACAGGCTCCAGGCTCTGAGCTGGCAGTCAGCACAGAGCCCGACGCGGGGCTCGAACCCACGAACCGCGAGATCATGACCTAAGTGAAAGTCGGACGCTTAACCGACTAAGCCACCCAGGTGCCCCATAACGTTCCCCTTTAGAAGATGAGCCTTTTAGGCCACTCGTATGCCCCCTACCCGACTCCCTTCACACCGGACATTAGCTATACTTGAATTTGGGGTTATTCTGGGTGGTTTCTTCTCTTTTACTTTTCTCTAATCTAAGTTTTCTTTAAAAAAAAAAAAAACTTCAAGGCACCCTATCATTTATCCTGATTGCCTATATTTTTATAGCACCTCCTGGATTTCTTTCTCTTTGTATTTATCTCCTCCAAAAATATTTTGACATTTTTGTGCAGCAACTCTTCTAAGTCTTTTTTATGCCTTTTACATTGGAATACTAATTTGACTGGATATAAACTTCTTTGTGAATAAGGAAAGGTACTCGAAAGCTGGAATTCTGTTTCCATCCAAACTGGACTTCAAGAGGAAGTCACTTTCCATTCTCTTAATGTACTTTCCTGCTAATGAGATTCATTAGAAGCAAGGCTTAGAGGCCGCATGCCATCAGCACTCCCTGCATGTCTCCAGACAGCCCCATCTGTTGCGTGATGACTCAATTTTATTTATGTAAAAGTAGACAGTCACAGGCCTAATGCTGGATATTGACTGGTTTAATAGAATTATTGCTAGAGCTAATATTGAACATATTCCAGGCTTTATACCAGCCATTCCTGAAATGAGAACATTCTCCCTGATCGCCGGGATATACTGCTGGATGCACATCTCAGCAAGGCTGAGTCCTGCCTGCAGACAGAGCCCGGAGGTTGACAGACCAGAGAGTCACCTGGTAGCCGCTATGATTGCAGCCTCAGACCGTCCTGGACACTTGACAGGAAATACAGTGACCTCAGGCACGGCTGCTATAAATCCCCAACACTCTCTGTTACCCTGACGTCTGTGTAAAATGGAGAGCTGTGAGTTACTAGCTTTACAGTTACTGTTATATTTAAAGCTGCTTTTCAGGATGAAAAGTCTGATCCTTAACATACTGCTTTTTTTTTTTAATTTTTAAAAATGTTTTATTTATTTCTGAGAGAGAGAGAGACAGCATGAGCAGGGGAGGGGCAGAGAGAGAGGGAGACACAGAATCTGAAACAGGCTCCAGGCTCTGAGCTGTCAGCACAGGGCCCGATGTGGGGCTCGAACCCACAAACCATGTGATCATGACCTGAGCTGAAGTTGGATGCTTAACTGACTGAGCCACCCAGGCGCCCCAACATACTTCTTTATACACTTGACAAACATTTAGTTAACACCTTCTAGCCTCTCACTGCTGTGCTGAATGCTAAGCACATGAAAAGAATGAAATAGGCCCTGCGTTCGCAGAGCTCAGGGTCCGTGGGCACCCGGCCTCCCATTGCTGCCTCACGTGGAAGGGTCTCCAGTGAAACCTCCTCTGAGTTCTCCACCGTGTCTTCTTTGGTCACAGGGGCCCAAGTGTCATCAGCCTCCCTCCAGCAAACTGAAAGCACCAATACTCCTGTAAATTCTACCTTTCTTTTGCACATATTTACACAAACCTTTGAGAGCAAGGGGAGAAAACAGCACATGCCTTGACTTACTTCTTTTTTAAAATGTATTTGGGGCCAGGTCTCCTCGGTGAATTTGTACCCATTTACCAGCAGGTGGTAGATATAGTGGGCGGAGAAGCAGTAGGAGCGAGCATACACCTCATCGAACCTGGGGAGCAGCAGCGGCAGCTGAAAAGAAGGTGCCAGACAGATAAGGCGGGTGCGACTGGAAATGCATGCTTCCGAACACCACGTGTTAAAGGATCTCGTCACGCACAATTTCGTGACACAATCACCATAAAATGATGGGACCGCATCGTATCATAATGAAAATGCCCCTATGCAGTATCACGTGGTGACACGTTCTAAGTTCACAGAGCGCTGCTGCTGCACCTCCCGCCCTTCTGACCGTTGTGTCCGTGGCTGGAATGTTGATCCACGGTGCAGGTGTCGGGGGGGTTCCCTTCTTACCCCATTTTATGGACGTGGGGGAGGTAGAATGGCATGAAGTCCAAATTCAGAACACACGCACACATGCACACAAATGGGCTATATGCTGATCTACTCTGCGTTTTGTACTGACGTTGCCCTTTTCTCTTTATTTTTTTTTTAAATAAAAAATTTTTGAGAGAGAGTGAGCGAGTTGGGGAGGGACAGAGATTATGAAACAGGCTCTGCGGAGCTTGCGAGTCTGAGCTGTCGGCACAGAGCCCGATGCGGGGCTCGAACTCACGAGCCTAGGGATCATGACCTGAGCCCAAATCCAGGGCCTGACAGTTAATCGCCTGAGCCACCCAGCCGCCCTGCCCCTTCTCTCTTTAAACACTGACCTGGCTCCAGCTCTCCGAGCAGAAATCCCAGCTGCTTGAGTTGAAGGCGCTCAGGGAGAAGCTCCCGGAGAGATTGAAGGCGCTGGCTGTGTAGTAGAAGCCTGCAAAGGCCTGGGAGGGAGGAGGCAACACACAAGGAAGTTACTTCTCAGATCGGGGGCAGAACGCGGAGCCTTCGGCTGGGGGACAGGAAAGTGGGGGGCCGGTCAGCAGAAGAGAAAGGTGAGAAGGAAGTATTCGGTGGGGGGAGAAAGGACTCTGTCGGGTGGTTTTCGCTCTTACCACAAATGTCCCTTTAACTTTTGGCTGATACACCCCGTCAAAGGAACACGCTTCTTGGTCATGGCAAGCTTTGAAGTCAAACAGGGAAGCCACCTTTTCCCTACACAGCGACGGGTCCCCGGTCCCCCCAACAGTGATGATGTCGTCAGGGCGGTAGTTGGCGGGCCTCAGGTCTGCTGTGCACAGGCTGTCGAATAGGTGGCCCCCAGAGAAGGTGGTGAGATAATTCCGAGGGTAGCAGGGGTTGCTGAGATTGGTTTTGGTGGGGGAATCCTGCAGGTACGAGAGCGAGGTGTCAGAAAACACTCTTTTAGGGGGGTGGGCAAGCGTTTTGTAAATTCTCACTATTGTTACCCTCTGGCGCCAAGAGAGAAATGGATGGAAAACATGCCCTTCTGGGTCAGCGCGCACCTGAAGGCAAGTCGCAGGTTGTCGTGATAAGTCCGGGGGGGGGGGGTGACAGTTACCCGCACTGGGCACCACGCCGGGCTGTCGCTCGCATTACTTGACTCACCCCTCCCCACGGTCCTGTGAAGCAGGTTTTATGAAATCCATTTAAGAAAAATTCTTTTAACATTTATTTAATTTTGAGGGAAAAAGAGCGTGAGTGGGAGAGGGGCAGAGAGAGAGGGAGACACAGAATCTGAAGCAGCTCCAGGCCCTGAGCTGTCAGCACAGAGCCCGACGCGGGGCTCAAACTCACAAGCAGTGAGATCATGCCTTGAGCCAAAGTCGGATGCCCAACTGACGGGCCACCCAGGCGCCCCTGTGAAATCCATTTTGAGGAGAACACAACATATGTTTAGTTTAATGGATCATTTTGAATAGGATAGGATATTATCTATCCACCTAACAGAATAACCCGGAAGGTTACAAATAAATACATTGTGAAAATGAGGGCTCCTTCCCAACCACTCTGCCACCAGATCCCCTCCTCAGAAGTAACCCCTGTTGCCAGTTTTTGTAATTTCCTCCTGGAGATGTAGTGTATACGTCTTGTATGCATACACAAATATCTCTTCTCCTCCCTCTTCTTTCTTCTGAAAACTATACGTGGTAGTATTCTATACACAGTTAGGCTCCTTGCTTTTCTTACTGAAAAATTTATCTTTCAGATCTTTCCATTCGCTGTACATATAGAATGGCCTCTTCTTTTTAGTAGCAGCATAGCACTCCGCTGTACAAATCAACTATAATTATTTAAGGAATCTCCTCTATATGAATATTTATATGGGTTCCAATCACTCTGCCATTATAAACAGTGCTGCACCAAATATCCTTATTCATACAAATCTTTGATCCCTTTGTAATTTATTTGGCATAAAGATTGTAGTAAGGACCTGACTCTACTTTTTCCAAATGACTATCCAATATTTTACTTACTGGAGAAAAATATTCTTTCTTAGCTGACGCCAGTCCAAAATGCATATGGTTCTATTTATGTACTCTGTTTTCTAAAGGAATTGGATTTGAACTCTGCCCAATTTGAAAACCATTAATTAAAAAATTTTTTTTGTTATGTCTTTATTTTATTCTGAGAGAGACAGAGACAGAGAGCGAGCAGGGGAGGGGCGGAGAGAGAGGGAGACACAGACTCCGAAGCAGTTCCAGGCTCTCAGCTCTCAGCACAGAGCCTGATGTGGGCCTCAAACTCGTGGACCATGAGATCATGATCTGAGCTGAAGTCGGATGTTCAACCAACTGAGCCACGCAGGTGCCCCTGTTATTGCCTTCTTTAAGTATACTTTGCCAATGGTCTAAGCTGTTCAGTCCCTCGACATTCAACAAATCTCCCCTGAACTTAGTACTTGCAGGGCACTGGCACTAAAGGGTCACCCATTAGGCTCGAGAGCAAAGAAGCTCCTAGAAAACTGTAGCATAACTTGACCTTAGGGTAAATCCTGTCAAAAGTGGAAAGACAGTGATAGGAACTATTCTCAATAGTGATAGAAACTATTAAAAACAAGGTAGGAAACTAAAAGAAAGCTACAGAGCCAATCATGAAAATGGTAAGTTTTATTGAAGGATGCAAACCAAGAACTAAATAATTGGAATAATATAATTCTATACAGAAATTCCTAATTTCAATAATAGCCCAATATTTTACCAAATTGATTTTCAGTCATTGCAACTGCAATCATAATCTCAGTGAAACAAAGTTCCTTTCTGTTACTACTTTAAATGATTTTGAAGTTCAAAATAAATGTCTGAGAGTAGAAAAACAAACTATTGCAACTAGAACATATAACAAATGATACTGTGTTAAGAATGGAGAAATGGGTGAATATAATAGGAAATTCAGAAACAGATCCTCATTATCTTATTAATGGAATGTCTCAGAATCCCTGAAATTATCAGATTGCAAAAGGTCATCACAGTATTGTGGGTGGGAATCCGGATGGTTTTAATTTTGTTGGAAGATTGCTCATTTATCTACTTATATAAAAAATATACCTATCCTTTGATTTCATCCTCCAGAAGTAAAATTACTAGTTCATAAGGTTATGTGCACGAGAAGGTTTATGACCACAGGACATAGCCTCAGGTCCATCAGGAGAGGAATGGTTGACAAATTGTGAAACATTAAAGGGTACAGAAAACAAGTTAGATATTGATCTGGAAAGTCTTGAACAACAATGTATCAAGCTGTGAACAGTGAAGACATTTGATGAACAGCATTGGAAAGAGAGTCTTTCATTTTTACTTCAATGCGTTTTTTGCATAGTTTGACATTTTTACAGTAAGAATGCAATTTCTTTCATAATAAAATGACCTATCTAGTTTTTCTTTTTAAAGAATGGTACTTGGAACATTATGCATCCATAAAAATAATAATTTCAAAGGATATTAAGCACCACAGGAAATTGCTCATGATATATCGTTAGGTAAAAGAAAAAGCTGGAGGGGTGCCTGGCGGCTCAGTCAGTTAAGCGTCTGACTCTTGATTTCAGCTCAGGTCATGATCTCATCGTTCATGAGATGGAGCCTGCTCGGGATTCTCTCTCTCCCTTTCTCTTTGCCCCTCCCCTGCTCACGCTCTCTCCCTCTCTCTCTCAAAATAAATAAACATTACAAAAGAAAAAGAGACATCAGGCTCTGTGCTGACTGCCAGCTCAGAGCCTGGAGCCTGTTTCGGATTCTGTGACTCCCTCTCTCTCTGACCCTCCCCTGCTCACGCTGCCTCTCTCGCTCTCTTTCAGAAAAAAGAAAAAAAAAAGAAAAAGAGAAAAGGCTGGATATAAAACTATATACAGCATATGAAGCCAAATTTGTAAACATACAGATTCATGCATGAAAAAAAGACTGGAAGAAAATGTTTACTGTGGTTAATTCTAGGGTTCCTTGTTTGGTTTTATAATTTATATTTCTGTGTGCCCGTGTCTGCATTTTCTAACCCTTTTTCACTGAACATGTGTTACTTTAAAAACAGAAGAAAAAATCTTAAAGAGGGGATGAAAGAAAGTGAATGCATGTCTTCAGCCCCTAAAATGCTGTCAGAGACTCCAGCGCTGGGGCCATGGGGGCCTGTTCATATGAAAACAGGCTGCAAAGGATACATCCAGGTCCCATTCTAACCAGACTGCGACAGGTGAGGAGACCAGATCCAGACTGGTGGCACTTACTCAGCCAGCGTTCACGATGCAATCATCTTTGTGGACCTTCTAAGCCGGGGCTTGGCAACATGTATGTGGCACATCAAAGTGCTGGGCAGGCAGGTCGGAACGTGCATTTGTGGGTGATCGTCAGCACACCTGGATCCCTCCCCTCTCCTGAGTCACAGGCTTTGCGGGCAGAGCCACCTACTCAGGCATCCAGAGGTCACCGGGCACGCTGGAGAGCTGCCCGTCCCTCCTCACCGACTGTCCACACGGGACACTGGGATCGCCCACCTCTGCCCCCAGCCCCGGGCTCGCACCTCGAGCCCCACGTTCTCTAACCCAAGGGAGACCTCAGACCAGGGGAGTACTGGCTTCTCCACTGTAGATTCTTAGATACATAATCATTCTTTTTTTAAAATGTTTATTTTTTAAGAGGAGGGGAAGGACAGAGAGAGGGGCCGAGAGAATTCCCAGCAGGCTCTGTGCTCTCAGCACAGAGCTGGACATGGGGCTCGATCTCACAAACCCTGAGATCATGCCCTGGGCTGAAATCAAGAGTCAGACGCTTAACCGACTGAGCCACCCAGGTGCCCCCGATAATCATTAAAATTTTATTTTGTTATGTCTTTATTTTATTTTGAGAGACAGAGACAGAGAGCGAGTGGGGGAGGGGCAGGGAGCCAGGGAGCCACAGAATCGGAAGCAGCTCCATGCCCTGAGCTGTCAGCACAGAGCCCGACGCGGCGCTCGAACCCACGGGCAGTGAGATCACGACCTGACACAAAGTCGGATGCCCAACCGACGGGCCGCCCAGGCGCCCCAATAATCATTCTTTAATAAACACTGTAAAAATAAACACACACAAACACTTTCCTCAGGGCCAGCCAAATTTAAGAGGTTAGCTCCTCTGACCTTCGCTCGCTCTGGGAAAAGGATGACTTCACCTGCCCCCTGTCTCCCGTTGCAAGTTCCGAGGAGCCCTGTGCCCTCCACCCCCGGGGTCAGCACTGGAGGGAGAGGCGTGAAGCGTTGCTAGAACTCAAGGGAGGTGGAGAAAAGAGGTGTTTCCAGAGCTTCCCCTGGGCAGCAGCATGTTGGCTCCAGCACGTTAGAGGGCGAGCAGGGGTGGGGGGAGGTCTCGGACGCCTTGCGAGGGAGGACGGGGTTCCCCGTGGGCTCCGTTCGGCCGAGGGGGGGTGGTGTGAGTCTGGGGGGGCACTGGGTCTCTTGAGCCCCGAGGGCTGCCTGCAGGGGCCCCCACCCTGTCCTTTCCCGCGAGTTCAGCCTCCGCCAACAATGCCCGTCAGGCGCATATGTGTCGGGGCTCCCGCCTTTCCTGCGAGGTTCAAAGAGGAGCTCTGGGCAGCGGCCAGCTCTGGAGGCGAACTCTCACCCCTGCACGACTACGCGGTGAGTGCAGGGGCCTGAAGGGGTCAGTCTTGCTGCCTGGTGAGCCAGCCCACCCTCCCCGCAGGCTGGCGGCTGGGCAAGTACTGCTTCCCGCCCCAGCGGCCCGAGTGAGTGGGGGGGGAGGGCACTAACCAATGGTGCTGTGTCCGCTGCGTTCACGGCTGACCCGGCCCTGCCCCCTGCCCCGGGTCTCACCGGGAGCCAGGATCTGTGGCCTCTGGCTGGCCTCACGCCCCTCCAGGTGGTCAAAGCCCCTTCTCTCATCTTCATTTTCTCTTCGCAGCCATGCCTGGCTGAGACGGACGTCCCGAGCACTGGACTCTGGGGGCTAGGACATCGTGAGTGGAGCCCGGGCTCAGTGACACCCACCACACGGGCACTGAGTTTACATTAATGACACCTTGCAGCTGGCGCCTGAAGAAGCCGTGGGAGCCACGGAACCGTTACTGTGTCCGTTACTGGCCAATGTGATGGCCTTCGGCCCCTCCCGTATCTCACCACACAGGGGGCGACCAGCCTACCTGATACAGGCCCATGTAAAAGGAGGCTGAACCTGGGGGGGGCTCAGGCCTCTCGCGTCAGCAAACTCTGGGGACCACTTCTATGATTTTGTCAGCACTCAGGGGAGTCCCAAAGGTCTCAGGTTTATTTAGCTATTGGTTTAAAACAGCTTGTGTCATAGAGGGATCCCAGGTCTTGAATCATTTATGAGACATCGGGTGTCCTGCAATTTCCCTAGGCTTCTGACTCACATACACCGGCAGTGGGCAGCACAGCATAGAGAGCGAGTGAGCAAGCTTGGACGCCGCCCCCCATGACTAAGCTGGCAAATGGTCTTGTTTCCAACCCAATCAGAAGATGGATGGACAGACCCCAGAAGGCGCACGCCCCTCAAGACCCCCAAAGGAACGCCTGCTGCCCGGCCCCCACACCCTCCCCCAACCCCCCGCCTCAGGTACCTGAAGAAGTATTGCCAGAAACCTCTTCTCAGCCTCATTGCGGCCGTAGCACTGGAAGCTGTGAGTGTAGAGCGTGTACGCATAGCCGTACAGGGACACCTCCGTGACATGGCTGGCGTTCAGCCCCGCCTTCTCTCCGGTCGCGAAGGATATTTGCGTGGAGGCACCGCCCAAATCCAGGGCGCCTGTGGTCTCCACTCCATTTGGATGCACCCACATATGCCACAGGTTCTTCTGCACAGCGGGGGGAAGGAAACGAGAGAAAACGCCGGAGGCACCGTCTCTGTTAGCCTGGGACTCTCCACCCAAGACCCGGCTCCCTTTGCTAAGAAATAGGACGTGGGGGGCATTTGGGGGCCAGAACTCTCCTTTCTTTCAAGGGTGGTGAGCTCCAGTGCTTCCGGGGCTAGGCAGGCAGCATAAATGGGTGAAGCAGGTTAGGTGTAGACAACGGGGAGGGTCGGGTAGGGGCCGCGGCAAACTGGGGACTGTGCGGGCCGCACTCTGTTCTGCTTGTTATCGCCAATGTGAGCCTGCGGGACCAGCGCTTCCAACTTTTAGGGGCGTGGGGGTCAGGGAAAGCTAGAGATGTGGGTCTATATGTGGTGTGTGTGTGTGTGTGTGTGTGTGTGTGTGTGACATTTCTAAAATAGTAACTGCTGGCAATTAACTAAAATTTAAGAATATGTTTGAGGGGGAACAAAGTAGGTGTTGGGCTGGATATGGTTTATGTCCTCTGTAAGATGGCAACTGTCCCTCGAAGCCAGCTTTCCTTTGCACCGGGGCGGGGCATGTGGGGACAGCAATGGAAGGGACCCAGGGACACAGGATGGTTTGGCAAGAGGCTGCCTGAGGGTTCTGGAAATTCCAGAGGGCCGTGGAGCTTCTTAGAAGGGCCATTCTCCAGCTACCCTTCAAGATACACACAGCCTTTAGATTTAGATCCCCTCCACCTCCAATTTCGTACCAGCTAGTGAAGTGATGGCACCCCTGTCCCCCGTACATGTGGTCCTGTTCTGCCCCAGCGCTGTGTGTCTTTTCTTAGCTATGTCTCACAGGTGTTTCCTCCATGCCACATACGATAGAGAGGGACACAGGACAGACGCACCTGTGCGTAAGGGACCACCCACAGGGACGGGATAGACAGCAAGATTAAAAACCATGCATTTGTTTTCACACACCTCCAGGAAATTTCCCATTAAATAGTTGGCTGTAATCCATCCATATATCCCTTCCTCTTGCCCAGAAATGATTTGAGCACCCCTAAAATCAAAGGGCTGGGACTTGAAGTAGTTTTGGATGCTTGCAAGGACTTCATTAGCTGCTGTTTCATTTTGCAACCTATGCAAGGCACAGAACACAAAGGCTGAGGGCCCGGGGATGAGCGTCTTCCAATGTTCTCAATCAGGTGCAAAGGCGAACCTCCCAGCCCTCCGCCGGCAGGGACGGGCTCCCAGAATGTGCAAAAACGGCAACCGTCTGCAAGTCGGAACCTCCCAGGGAACCTGAAGGCAGATGCACTTGTTACCCGTCAAACTGCCAAGCAGAGAAACAGCCTCAGGTACAAGCACCCTGTTCCCTCCCCGCTGCCTGCTTCTGCCTCGTTCTCTAGCGCCAGCGACTCCAAGAGCCTTCTGCTTAATCACCGCTGCTGTGTCTCAGATCAGCACAGGAAAGGGGACTGGCGAAGGCACGGGGTGGCTTTAGGAATCCGCTGGAGGCACCACACAAAGGAGCTCTCATCAGGCCAGAAGGAAGGGGGATCTCAGGAGGAGGGAGGAAAGAAAGAGCCACTTTTCAGCTGTCCCTGCTTTGTTCTAGAAAGGGCTTCATCATGAGGGGATATGATGGCTATCGTGGCCGTCACTGGATTGAAATCCATCAGTGTGCTGACCCACGGAAACGTGGAAACACAGCATTCAAGTATCACCCGTGACATGGCATCATGCTGTCGTTCATTTGCCGCCATTTTACCTTGCGGAAGGACATTTGCTCCCCTTTCATCACGGGGTGACTGAAACCAGGGGCACTGGCTCACTATTGGCTCAACGAGGAAGAACCACGCTACAAGCCGAGGTCCGTTCTAATTCAGCAGCAAATGATCCCTGCTTGGAAAACAATCCAAGGTTTTTCCTAGTTTTATCAGTTCCCCTCCCAGAGGACTCTCATTAAATGCTTTTTTTTTTAAATAGTTGACTTTTCTCTCAATTAAAACGTCAGCCAGATCCTCAGAAGGAATGGATTACCATCAGAAAGCTTTACGAGGAGGAGTTAATCTTTAATTTATTCAAAGGGGACATTCACTGTTTTCCCAAGTGGAGAACTTCCTATTCCATGGTTTTTGCCATGGGCTAGAAGTCTTCGTGTCTTCTAATTATTCCTCACTGAGAGGAGGGGAGAAAAGGCAGCTAAGAAAAAGTCGGATGCTTTGTTTCCTTAAAAAAGAAAAGGCAATGGGGCGCCTGGGTGGCTTAGTCGGTTAAGCATCCGACTTTCGCTGAGGTCATGATCTCGCGGTTCGTGGGTTCGAGCCCCGCGTCGGGCTCTGTGCTGACTGCCAGCTCGGAGCCTGGAGCCTGTTTCAGTCTGTGACTCCCTCTCTCTCTCTGACCCTCCCCTGCTCACGCTGTCTCTCTCTCTCCTAGAAATAATAAAAAAAATTAAAAAAAAAGAAAAGAAAAAAAGAAAAGGCAGAAGGAAGGAATTTCTGTATCATTTCTTTCAGGTAAATGCAATAATTTTGGAACACCCTGCAGATTCCAAGGGGAGCAAAGAAATTCAACTTTTTCCCACATTCTGATCGGTCCACCAGGATTGAGGGATAGAAACAAGGAGAGGAAAACCTCAGGGAAAAGGCCTAATCCGACCGAGGGTGCTTTGTGCTTTCTTCTAATGACCATGTTGAAGTGGCTCTGTCTGTCTGTCTGTCTCTGTGCATCTGCTTTATGCCCACACATAGAATTTTATGTTACTGTCACTCCAGACAAAGTGGGTTTGCAGCACTGACTGTCATCTTTGGGGGATAAGCCTTATTTTCACAGTTCACAGCAGGTTTTTACCCTGGGTAGATTTTTCAGTTTGATTTTTTTAAAAATTTATTTTTCTTGCGGGACCTGGGTGGCTCAGTCAAGTGTCTGGCTCTTGATTTCGGCTCAGGTCATGGCCTCAAGGTTCGTGAGTTCGAGCCCCACATCAGGCTCTATGCTGACAATGCGGAGCCTGCTTGGGATTCTCACACTCCCTCTCTCTCTCTGCCCTTCCCCTGTGAGCTCTCCCTCTCTTTTTCTCAAAAATAAATGCACGGTAAAGAAAAAAGAAATGTATTCTCTTAAAAAAATAAAAACTATTTTTCTTTTATTTCAAGGTCAAGGAGCTACAATCATGGGGAAAAAAGAGAAACAGGCATTAGAAAACAGTGCACGTGGGCGAAGCGTCATGGCTACAAGTTTAGAAGGAACTGCTAAGTTGCACGCAGTGAGCTGTTTGTTTCCTAATAGCTCAAGGCTTTGACTGAGTTGAAGTGCACCAATTCCACTATTTTTTTTGGGGGGGGGGAGGGGAGGGTCAGAGGGAGAAAGAAAACCCCAAGCGTGTCAGTGTGGAGCCTGACGTGGGGCTCAATCTTACAATGGCGAGGTCATGACCTGAGCTGCAATCGAGTCGGACGCTGAACCGACTGAGCCACCCAGGCGCCCCAGTGAAGAAACGCTCTTTGAAAGCAGATGCCGGTGGGACCGTGTGCGTGAGAAGCTACGGAACTCTGGGGACAGCTGCCGGCACGCCGGGGTCAGAAGACTAGGCGCCCCAAACGCTTTTCCTTTCCTAAAGCCTAGAAGTATACCCCGCGCGATTTCACCTGCCTCTTCTCCAGAGCTCTCAGGAAAATCACCAAGGTGGTGGGATTCCATGTTATAACAGTTTCTTTCTCGGCATTAAAATAAAGACTAAAAGTTTCCCAACTTTGGAAGCCTAAATTCAAGGCAGAGACCATGGGCTCCTTTCCTTCGGGTTTGTTCCCAGGCACAGGGTCACGTTCCTGGCAAGGTTCGTCACATCCTTGCTTTCGGTCGGATGGGCTCCTGGGGGCCAGCCCAGCCCTTACCTCAGCAGGCGCATCCCAGCCGTGGCCCCCAGGTAAGCGCGGGTGGATCCATGGAGGTGGCCTGGAATCTGCCCCTTGACTTTCTGCATGCAATCCTCAAAGGCCTTGGGGGCGTCCTGGGGGTTCTTCCCATAGCTGGAGACCCCCGAGCCTGAGGAGCAAGCAGTCAGCACTTCTTAGCATTCCCGGGCGCCGGCAAGGGCAATACAGACTCTACATAAAAAAACAGATCGGCTCTGGGCATTAACGGGCGTGAGTAGGGGGTTGAGAACGGGTGGATGTGCTAAGGCCCGTGGGGTCACGCCGTGGAGTCAACTCTCCAAATACGGAAGGAAGGAATTACGAAAGTGAAACAGTGAGGCAGGAAGGCCTCGAGACGGAAATGCGGACATAAAGGCGGTGGGGGGAGTGGGACGACGAACCCCGTGGTGCCCGCCTCCCACCTCTCACAACGGGCACCTCTGGTGTCACCTGCTCGCTGTCCCCACAGAGCGAACTGCAGAGATGTTATCATTTCGTTCTTAAAACATGTCAGTTTGCTTCGCTAAAAGGCAAAAATTCTTCTCCTTCTCCTTCTCCGGTTCAGAAATAATCAATCGTTTTGGCTTTTTGCCTCTCTCGTCTTCTTTCACATGACTTGCCTTTTGGTTAAGTCATTTTTTGTTTTGTTTTGGCTTGTTTTAAAGATTTTATTTAAATTTTTAAAAATGTTTATTTTTGAGAGACAGAGACAGAGCATGAGTGGGGGAAGGGCAGAGAGAGAGGGAGACACAGAATCTGAAACAGGCTCCAGGCTCTGAGCTGTCAGCACAGAGCCCGACGCGGGGCTGGAACCCACAAACGGTGAGATCATGACCTGAGCCGAAGTTGGACGCTTAACCGACTGGGCCACCCAGGTGCTCTGGTAAATTCACTTTTTCACAGAATTTCCACTAAATAGGTTTTGAGACGTAGTAAAAGGGGGGGACAGGAAAAATGAAACAAAAATTCAAATCTATGTTCCATGTGTTCAAACACAGAGGGAGAAAGGAATCTTGTCATGATTTATCGTCAGGAAACATTGTGGCATAACTATATGTAATTTAATAAGATGTTATCCTAAACTTTAAGTATAAAAGAAGACCAGAAAGTCCACATTTATGAATTTCAAGAAGAAATCACACACCTAGAGAAACAGACCTATAACCCAAACAAACCCATAACAGAGTTCCTCAATTTGGCCAGAAATCTCCATGAAGCTCACATGAACGATCACAGAGAGAACTGAAAGTAGAGTCAGGCAGGAATTCTTTTAAAGCAGCATGATCCTACTATTATGCCTGTAAAAACTAATGGAATTAAAGTCTAGGTAAGGCGCACATTTTCTGCATATTCATCTTCTCCCTCTCTATGCCCCCACCCTTCTCTTTTTCTCTATCCAGTTTGTTTGAATTATAGTCCAAATAAATTCCATCCACTGCAGTTGGCTAGTATGTTTCTTCAGTCTCCTTTTTAAAAATGTTTATTAATTTTGAGAGAGAGAGAGTGTGTGTGCACAAGTGGAGGAGGGGCAAAGAGAGAGAGAGGGGAGAGAGAGAATCCCAAGCAGGCTCTGCACTGCCAGCGCAGAACCCCATGCAGGGCTCGAACCCACGAACCGCGAGATCATGTCCTGAGCCGAAGTAGGACACTTCACCAACCGAGCCCCCCAGGCGCCCCGGCTCTACTCTGACACTAACTCTCAGATCTGAGCACTTCCTCCACCTTCCCCAGCACCGTTCTAGGTCAGAGCATCTCCCCCTCGGCACCACTGCCATCTGGGGCCGCGCAGGTCTCTGCTGTGGTGCGTCCTGCGCACTGTGCAAGGTTCAGCAGCATCCCCGGCCACCACTAGATGCCAGCAGTGCCACCAACCCCAGCGGGGACAATCAAAACTGTCCCCAGACATTGTTCAATGTTCTCGGCGGAGCAAAATCGCCCCACAGCAGACCACACCACCACAACGTCACGGCTTTGTGACGTCGTAACGTGCACTGGCCTACGAGCTAATAGCTTCCGACCTCAGCCTCTGACCACATGTTCTACATCCAGAACGCTCCATGAAAAGCAGAAGTCATGTCCATGTTAGTTCCGCGGCCAGGATCTCCCAGTGGCTGCCAGGATACTCTGGTGAAAACGCCCCTGAGGACAAGTCGGACCCCTCACTGCATCTCCGGGCCTCCACGAGCTGCCCTCGGCCACAGTGCTGGCCTCACTGCTCCCCTTTCCTGCACCATTCTCCCTGCCCCCGTCACCCTGGCCCCTTTGCCTTTCCTGGAAAATGCTGAGCGGCCTCCACTCCTGGCCTTTCCCCTTGCCAGGCCCTCTGTTCAGCACATTCTTCCCTCAAAAATGTGAATGTCTCACACTCTTCTTTCACTTTTGCCTCTGCTTGACTGTCTCCTCCTCTGTCCTTCCCTGGTGACACTGTCTAAAGCAGCATGACCGCGCTCTGCCCGCCTGCCTCACTGATTTCCCCTTTCAGCCCTTCGCCCTGACGTGTTTTTATACCCATTTATGAGCTAGCTCCGTGATTTGAATGTAAGTTCCACAACAGCACAGACTTTGCTTATTTTATTTATTTATTTACCTTTTATTTTTTATTTGTTTTTATGTATGTTTTAAAATTTTTTCTGTTTATTTTCTGAGAGGCAGAGAAAGCGAGAGCGGGGGAGGGTCAGAGAGAGAGGGAGACACAGAACCCGAAGCAGGCTCCAGGCTCTGAGCTGTCAGCACAGGTCCCGACGCGGGGCTCGAACTCATGAACCGTGAGATCATGACCTGAGTCGAAGTCGGACGCTTAAACGACTGAGCCACCCAGGTGCCCCCATTTTCTATTTGTTTTTAAATAAGCTCTATGCCCAATGTGAGGCTTGAACTCATGACCCCAAGATCAAGAGCCCACTGACTGAGCCAGCCAGGTGCCCTGTATATTTCATTTTAGAATCCCCAGTGTCAAGGACATACTGGCATACAGTCGGCACCCAATTCATATTTGTTAGATAAATGAATAAATGAATCGATCAGTCAATGAGATTTTCAAATCAGTATGAAACTATGCTAAGGGGATCGTGTAGTTCAATCTGGATCGGCCAGAGCCGGTCTCTGGAAGGGACTGGGTAAGAGGAATGCTGGGATGTCAGAAGTTGGGGCACCTGAGCATGTCACCTATTTGCATAACGCCCCGTAAGCCTCCTAGAGAGAAGACGAGATTGGGCTCACTGGCTCATGGGATCTTGGGATTCACAACCCTAAGAAAGGAGGGTTGGAACTACTATTCCAGTCTGGAGAAAGGGGGTTGGACAGATAACATAAGACTTACTCGAGGTAGGACAGAAGCAGGAGACGTACCCAAGCAAAGGATGCTTTCAAAACTGTAGACATCGGGTCCCCAAAGCAACTCCTTAAGGTATTTCAGTGGAGGAGCTGGTAACTATTAGGCCCCTGTGGAGTTTAAAGACCTTTAGGGGCGCCTGGGCGGCTCAGTCGGTTGGGTGCCCGACTTCAGCTCAGGTCATGATCTTGCGGTTCATGAGTTCGAGCCCCACATCAGGTTCTGTGCTGACAGCTCGGACCCTGGAGCCTGCTTCTGTGTCTCCCTCTCTCTCTGCCCCTCCTCCGCTCACGCTCTCTTTCTCTCTCAAAAATAAATAAACATAAAAAATTAAAAAAAAAAACAAGAACTTTAAGCACCGGTTTAAAGGGAACACGTGAATGTCCTCTGAGCGGAGGCAGCAGCAGACATAAGCATGGCACGCCGAGAAAGAGATGCGGGGCCTCTAGGGGACCAGTGCCCTCCGGGGAATGGCTTTACAACGAGCAGCCAGGGCTTTAGACACCAGCATGGGGACCGGCAGCTGAGGCAGCACCCGATGAACTCAGGAAAAGAGCAGCAAATGAGGAGGACGATACTCACCAGGTCCCCCTCCCCCCAAGAAAGAAACCTCCGAGAGCCTGGGTATCTGGGATACATTGTGGGGCAAGCAAGCACTCACCACCCCAGGCGGGGGAGCCCTGGAAAATTTGCAACTGGCAAACCAGAAACCCAAATTATCCTTGCAGAAGCCACGTGTCTTCAAGGCAATGGCACTTGCCAAACTTCGACTCTGTATTTTGAGATTTAGTTTGTGGTCTTCTGGTCATCTGGAGCACATATATGGATCCTGAGGCTACTGCGATCAAAGGGAAGACTCATTTATGGATGTGGTGTGGGCTCCCTGTCCCTGCCCCTCCCCTAAATCACATCCAGGGTGGCCAAGGGCCCCTTCCATGAAGGTCACATGTCCCCATGAAGGTCGCATGTCCCCCTACAGCCAGAAGATCATCAGGACTGACTTGGCTGAATTGCTCTCTGGGTCTAAAGACAGATCTGGGTGAGACTAACTTCTCGGCAAGAATATCCACCGGGAGCTCTAGAATGTCCTGGCCCTTGAATAACAATAGCTAACACTTACTAAGTGCTTACTGCATGCTGTGCATTTGCTACCTGCTTTACATACACATGTCATTGAATCTTCAAATGATTCCTACGGGATGGTGTTACTATTCTCATGCTTCTTATTTTAGAGATGAAGAGGCCAAGACCCAGAGCGGTTAGGAACATCCCAGAACTCACACAGGAGGGATGAGTCTTAATGATCACTCTACACTGCCCTCTCTTTTTTTGACGTGGCTGCTCTCACCTTTCAAAACGAGCATCCCGCTACCCTCTTTCATGCTCGACGGTGAGGAAATGGCTCAGAAGTTAGGACCACAGAGTTGGGGTCTCTGGCTGGGCTCCGAGCACGGCTGTGGCCGCCTGTGCCTTGTGGACAACAATCAGTCAGTTCTCAGGAAACACCCCAGTGCCCTGTGGGCCCAGAGAGCTGCCAAGCAGGCGCCCCTTCAAACAACGGCTTAGCGTCTCAGCCGCCAGCTCCTTCGTGCGGCCTTCGCCGCAGGGAGCCGCCTTGCCCGACGCCCTTTCCAGGACGGCGACATGGAACCACCGATGGCAACAGCGCTGTCGCAGCCCAGCCAACTCAGGCCACGCAAGGCACCTGACTGCCCCGAGCCCTGTCAGGCCCACGTGGCGGCGTGACTTCTCTTCCCTCCAGCCCTCCCGCTCCCCCTCCCTCCCGCAGGTGCGGCTCTCTAAGAATTACCTTCCATCCCAAACTCTGTCTCAATATCTGCTCACTGACACCCTAACCTGGACACCCAGGTACCAGGGAAGGTGAGCTCCTGGCTGCTCTCCGTTGAAGGTCGGATGATCAGAACCCACCCTGTTATTCAGAGAACTCTGTTAGTCTCGCCGTGGGAAAGGCTAATTCTGCTTGCCAGCTTTATCAGTGCTGGAACCCCCAGAAGTTATTATCTTTGGGCAGCTCGTGGAGGCAAGTGAAGGAGGCTGCTTGGGGCCGGGGGAACCGGTCCAGAGTCTACTCTGTTGTCCTGTGGGCTGGGGCGCCGACACATTCAGGACGTGTTCACATCCTGGCCAGGAAGCGCTAGGCCAAGTCAAAGATCATGATGGTCTAAAGAGGGAGGTTTATAAATTTTTTAATGTTTTATTTATTTCTGAGAGACAGCGAGCGAGCATGAACTGGGGAGGGTCACAGAGAGAGGGAGACACAGAATCTGAAACAGGCTCCAGGCTCCGAGCTGTCAGCACAGAGCCCAACATGGGGCTTGAACTCACAACCCGTGAGATCATGACCTGAGCCAAAGTTGGATGCTTAACCGACTGAGCCCCCAGGCACCCCTAAAGAAGTAGGCTTATAAAAAGGCGCACCCATAAGTGATGAATCCCTGGGTTCTACTCCTGAAGCCAATACTACACGGTATGTTAACTTGAATTTAAATAAATAAATTTAAAAAATAATAAAAAGGCACACACAGACACACACTCGCTAACTGGGGTTGGCTATGTGCACTAAAGACTTAACTGTGGGGTACTTGAGTGGCTCAGCTGGTTAAGCATCTGACTCCTGGTTTCAGCTCAGGTCATGATTTCATGGTTTGTGGGTTTGAGCCCCACATCGGGCTCTGCACTGACAGTGTGGAGACTGCTTGGGATTCTCTCTCTCCCTCGCTCTCTACCCCTCCCTCATTTGTTCTCTCTTTCTCCCCCTTCTCAAAAATAAATAAATAAACATTAAAGAAGACTTAATTGCTAAAGAACAAAATTATAAAACTTTGAAGAACATCTTTATGATATTTATAAACATATAAATATACATATATTTATATCATATATGATATGACCTCAGGCTAAAGGATTTCTTAAATACACAAGAGCAAACCCATAAAAGAGAAGACTGGTAATTATGCCTACATAAAAATACTTCTGTTTATCAAAAGACACAACGAAGAGACTTAAGAAGACAAACCATTCGCTGTGAGAAAATATGAGAACAATAATGCTGGCTAAGCACTCATATTCACAACATGTATAATGAACTCCGGGGGCGCGGGTGGCTCAGTCAGTTAAGTGTGTGACTTCAGCTCAGCTCATGATTCATGGGTTCAAGCCCCACCCTTGGGCTCTGTGCTGACAGCTCAGAGCCTGAAGCCTGCTTCAGATTCTGTGTCTCCCTCTCTCTCCGCTCCTCCCCTACTCACGCTCTGTCTCTCTCTCGCTCTCAAAATAAACAAACATTAAAAAAATAATAAAAAGGGGCGCCTGGGTGGCTTAGTCGGTTGAGCGTCCGACTTTCGCTTAGGTCATGATCTCGCGGTTCGTGGGTTCGAGCCCTGCATTGGGCTCTGTGCTGACTGCCAGCTCAGAGCCTGAAGCCTGTTTCAGTCTGTGACTCCCTCTCTCTCTGACCCTCCCCTGCTCATGCTGTCTCTCTCTCTCTCTCCTAGAAATAAATAAAACATTAAAAAAATTAAAAAAAAAATAATAAAAAAAAGAACTCCAGTGAGTCAGTGAGAAAAAGTCAAGCAACTCAGTAGAAAAGTGAGCAACACGAGCAGGAATTTCACAAAAACAGAAATGGTCATGTGAAACATAAATATAAAATATATAAGCATATTTATAATTTATAATGTTAAAAGTAAATTAAAATATAAATATGCTCAACCTTATCCCTTAATCGTCCTTTCCATAATCATGGAAATACAAATGTCCATCGACAGGGAAGAACGTATGAGCTTCTGTGACTCCCTCTCAACCCAGATGGATCTTAAAAACCCAAAGTTCATGAATAAAGCGAGTTACAGAAGAATAAACATTGACTCCGTTTATGTGTATACCTGTTTGACCCTGCCTTCAAAAACAGGAAAAACTAAATGCATAAGGACAAAAGAATATAAGAAGGACAAGGAAACAGTGAATATAAAATTCAGGCTATGCTGTGGAGGGCCGTTAGAGGTGCCGAGACTGTTCTGTCTCGGCGGGGTGGTGGTGGGGGGGGGGTGGTATCTCAAGGCCAAATCCAGTTTGTACACCCTTTTTTGTACAGCCTGTGGGCTAAGACAGTTTTTAGGGGGAAAAATTAAAATAGTGTGTTGTGACACTCGAAAATGACATGAAATTCAAACTCTCAGGGTCCATGAATCAAGCTTTACTGGACCAGAGATGCCCGTCTGGTTACCGACGGTCCATCCATCTGTACCGCCGCCACCCCACCCCCACCCCGACACGCACGGCCAAGGAGAATGCAGTTTCCCTGCTGGAATACAGTTCTCCACGACCCTCTCATGTTTCTGCACGTCTTACGAGCAGAGGCCCCGACTGCCTTTGTTCCGGATTATATTTTCAAAGCTCAGAAGATAGATTCCCCCCGGATCAAAAGGCAGCCGTTATCAATGTGTCAGATTCCCTAATCTCGGGCCCCCTCCTCTGTAGTACGACCCACTGTGCCAGCAGATGCTGCCCGGCCCCCCTTACATCACCTGGGGCAAAGTGAGGCTCAGGGAACCAGCACGAGAAAATGCCGACGCTTGGCCCACTGCTGTTACCGTGAGGGGGAAACCGTCCTTCGTTCTGGCCCAGGAGATGCGTGCCTTCCGCCGGCATTCGCGCAAGTGCGGCGTCTGCACAGGGTGGCGTGTGTCCCTGATGCCGCGCCCGGTGCTCGCTCCCTGGCTCCAGGCAGCTTCCTGGGGTCCCTCAGGCCTCCAGGGATCCTCAGGACTCCCGCTGGCTTCCCCGTGGGCCTCCCGCACACAGTCTGGGCCTTACCTTTCACACTACACTTGAAGCTTTGGCTGACCACTCCAGTGTTATTCTCCTTCTCTGCTGGCCACTGATAGACGTACACGGTGGTTCTGGAAGACCCGGCATCGAGCACGATTCCATACTGAAAAGAGGGGGAAGGGAGAGTCAGAAGTGGACTGGGCTTCTCTGAGGACTCTTTTCCGATGGGCCACTGAGAAGCCCAAATGCTCTCAAGCGCTTAATCCACCCTGTTTCATTTGGAGAGGCGCTGGCCAAGGGGAAAAACCGAGTTTCTGCAAGCCAACTTGGTCTCCTTGGGCTGTGGGGGAAGGAGACGGGGTGGGTGGGTCAGGTGCCCCGGGGCATGGCTCTCACCCCTGGCCTACATTAGAATCGCCCGGGGAGTGTTAGAAACTCCCAGTGCCAAGGCCACATCCTAGACCCCGGAAATCCGAGTCTCTGGGAGTGGACCCAGGCACCCACAGTTCCTAAAGCTCGCTGGTGATTCCGACATGCAGCCAAGGCTGAAAATTCATACTCCGAGGATCTTGTGTGTCCCTGATGCTTCCTCATCCAGACCTCTGAGGTGGGGGACAGAAGCCAGTGAAAACAGTCAGTCACCTGTTGCCCTCCGTTCTTCAAACTTCCAGGCCCGTAAGCCTGGAAGTAAACATAAGAAATTCTCGCAGGGTGCCAGGGTGGCTCAGTCAGTTAAGCGTCCGACTTCGGCTCAGGTCATGATCTCACAGTTTGTGGGTTCGAGCCCCATGTTGGGCTCTGTGCTGACAGCTAGCTCAGAGCCTGGAGCCTGCCTGAGATTCTGTGTCTCCCTTTCTCTCTGACCCTCCCCTGCTCATGCTGTCTCTCTCTCTCAGAAATTTAAAAAAAGAAAAAAGAAATTCTCACAAGGGAGAATCAATACTCAATATCTACATTATTGATGCTACATCAATAACTGCAGTAGCCTTCAGAACAAAAGCATTCGTAATTAAACAAACTAATGCTGACACACCGTCCCACTTTGGTAACACGGCGCACGAACACGCAGACAGCAGGCAGAGCCAGGGCGAGCCGTGCACAGGAGAGCCGGCTGGGAGGCCTGGGCCATCTCCCCGGCCTCAGGCAGCACCAGGAAGCTTCTTCCCTGGGGGCAGGCCGTGGACCCAGCCTGAGTGGGAAAGAGCATGCATGAGCAGCCTATGGGGATTGGAATGAGTAATGCTGACCCAGGTCAGTATGTGCCGGGGCCTGGAGTCAGCCCAGGGCAGCAGAGGCTTCTGGAGCTTTTCTCCAATCCCACTGCTGTTGGGTTAGGCCAGCTGGTCTCAGGGAGGAGGATGGATTTGGCTTCTGGAAGCAGGTCGAACTCAGATGGGTGCTTGCTTGCTTTGCGACTCTAGGTGGTAAGAGGCCCAGCTGCTGTGGGTCTACTCGTCCTCAGAGAACTTAACTTTCAGAAGTAAACAGACCCTGTTTACTGACACTCAGCGGCTGCTCAATAAACACAGGCTACATGGAGAGATGAATAAAGCAAAATAAACAAACAGAATTATGAAGCAAGGACAAGGGGAAAGAGAAGTAAATAACACCCCTCAAATCCCACGATTGCGGTAACACCTTGTTACAGATTTTTTCCTAACGGTCTTCTGTGCAAACAGCTCCATACATGAAAACGTGGGTAGACAGATGCTTCCAATTCGGTCCAGGATTATGCTGTACGTGGTCTTTTCCAATGCTCTTTTCTGACTTATATATCCTGCACATCTCTTGCTGCCAGTAAAAATGCTGACATCACTTTCAATACATTCCCCACATCTTCTGTGAGAGGTACAGCAATTTAGCTAACCAGTTCCCTGATTCTAGACGCTTGGGAGGGCTCCAACCTTCTACTATCAAGAAATGCTTGTTTCGTCTGAAATGGGACCAAATAAAAACATGTTGCTCCAGCTCCTCAATCACAGCTTTCCCATCATATTGAGACGGAACATGCTGTGCCCTTGGTACTTGAACTTAGACACCGTCCTAATCTCAGCCTTCAGTCTGATGAATGCTGACGGGGATCCTGACGTGACAGCCCCGGTGAACAAGGGAGGCACTGCCCACAGCCCGCTCCCCGGGAGATTAATGCGCAGGTGGAGCTGAGGGAAACCGGGGGCTCGAGAGATCTGAGCCTCCCTACCAGCCACTTCCTCCCCTTCCTCCTGCCGCCCCCCTCCACCGGCCCCTCTACACCCGGTACTGATACAGGAGGGAGCACACGTGAGCAGCCGCTCCACACGGACCCCCCCCTTCCCAGAGCTTCTGGATGGATCCCAGCTCTTCACAAAGATGCATTTCCCTGTGAAGGGAGCTTGGGGCTGCCGTGCCCAGATCAGTAGGCCAAATGGCAAGGCCATTTTCACTCTCATCTCATCCCATCTCATCCCAGCTGGGATCCAATTTTCACCAAGGTGGGGGCAGCCAGAGACGTCGGCAGTGAGCCTGGAGACATGGCTGCCGTCGGGCACCTGCCGGATGTGCTGACCGGAGCAGCGCTGAGCCCGGGGCTACTTCTCTGTCATACGCATCCGCCCCAACGCTGTGCACTGACGTTTCCAAAAGTGGAAACACTGGGCTTTACCAGTTTTCAGAGCTCCCTTACCTAAATCAGTGGAGCTCAATGTGGTTTGAGGGAGTGGGTGGGGTGGAGACTGAATTTCATTCAGTTCAGCTAGGCTAGAAGTAGCCCTCTGTCTAATGCAGTATCAGAGAAGAACATGGCTTGAATGTAGAACTGAAGACACACTCAGTGGGTTAACCAAAAGGAAACGGTCTTCCACGTGAACCCCGTGATCCAAAATCAAGGATTGTGTGAGCTTCTAACAAAAGCAAAAGCAAAGGTCATAAGATCATCTTTCTTAGATTATTATCACTCTCATCACCATCAGTCACCATCATCACCATCATCATGATCATCCCTATAGGCATAACAATAGGAATCCGAGTACTAATACACATTTGTGGAGTACTTATAGTACGCCAGGCATTGCCCTAAGTGCTTCAGTGTTGCATTTATTAGGCAGGGGTTGTCATCATTCCCACTTGACATATGGGGAAACTGAGGCTCACAGAGGTAAATAATTGCCCACAGTCACAGACTTGGGCTCAAGCTTGGCTCTTACTGGCCATCAAACCTCTGCACGTAGCCCCTATGCTTTCACTGAGTTCCAAGGAAACCAGTTCTAACCAGATTGACTGCTTAGTAATAAGGTGCTTGGGGCGCCTGGGTGGCTCAGTCCCCTGAGCACCCAATCTCGGCTCAGGTTCTGGCCTCATGGTCTGTGAGATCGGGGCTCTCTGCTCTCAGCTCGGAGCCTGCTTCAGATCCTCTGTCCCCCCCTCTCTGCCCCTCTCCCAATCACATGCATTCTCTCTCTCTCTGTTTCTCAAAAAAAAAAAATAATAATAATAATAATACGGTGCCTGGTGTATATAGCAGACTTTCTTTGCTCAGATAAAAACTCCCTCAAAAGCAAACTTGTAGGTAAGTAGTGTGCAGACTTGGCTCACAGGATCACAGGACCAATGTGAGCAAGGAGCCACATCTTTCTGGAAAGGAGGAAACTAATCATCCAACTTTCATTCTCTAAGGGGTAACCAGGGAGGGTCACAAGGCACCAGAGATCCGGGCAGTGACCCTTGAGGGTTACAAGGGAATGTTTTTTGTTTGTTTGCTTATTTGTTTTTGAGAGAGAGAGCGTGTGAGAACGTGAGTGGTAAAGGACAGAGGGACAGGGAGAGAGAGAATGCCAAGCGGGCTCTGCACTGTCAACTCAGAGCCCAAAGCGGGGCTGGAACCCACACAGCATGACATCATGACCTGAGCCAAAATCAAGAGATGGACACTTAACCGACTGAGCCACCGGGCACCCCTACGAGGGAATGGATTTAGCACAACCTGGTCTCGTGGTTGTGCTTCGGAGAATAACATCCAGGCATGGGGGTGTGACTCAATATGGGCGTCTGACGGGCCCTGAGAAGGACTGCGTAGGCCCCCCTTGAACCGTGATGTCCCGTCGCTGCGAGGGGCATGGCAGTGGGGTGCTGATCATACTGGCCTGAGAAGCTCTAGGGCTTCCAGACAGTTGTGATCGGGGCCAGGGAGGGAGAAGTCTCAGGAGGAAGATGCTGGACTTCCTTGGGGGGCTGAGTGAAAAACAGCAGTGATGTCATCATGTTTACTCTTCAGGCTGGTAGATAAATAAAAATGGTAGATAAATAAAAAATAGATAAATAAAAATAAATAAATAAAAATGGGGGCACGCTGACCCTTGACTAAGTTTCAATAGTTCTGTTCTTAAGCTTAGACAGAGCAGCGTTCGGTAAGCCGAGGCTGGATCTAACAGCCAGCTGGCATGACCTTTCGTTAGGGTGTTAAGGAACATTCCAGCCCCTCACACCTCACCCCCCGGAGAGGCCATTGTGGAGCCGGCCTCTCAGAACCCACTGTCAGCTGTGCACAGAGGAAAACAACGTTCAAGGTATGAAAACACACACATAACAGTTTAAAGCCCTTGAATTCACTCAGCTTCACTTCCACAACTGCCCTTCCCACCCCAGCACACACCGCAGAGCAGAACACAGAGGCCTGTCCTCAACCTGAGAAGGGCTGCGCGTGCAATGTTCTTTCAAGTGGCCCGTTCTGGCCCTGGTCCCACTGGCTCAGAACATCTGTCTCTTCTCACATTTAAAACACCCAGTTAGGCAGAGTGAGTCTTCATTCTTGTCCCCTACACCTGTGACTGGGGGCTGACGAGCACGACTCTGAGGAGACTGCAAATCCCCTCTCTGAACTGTCTGTGAATCAGTGAGCGTGTGTCTTCTGGTGCTTCGTTTAGAAGGACCCTCGTTCAAGGCCCGTGTTCTCTGATCTCGTTTCTTCCGCGCCACATCTGCTATTTCCAGTCCGTGCAACCGTGAGAAGCTAGCTGCCCTTTCTGCTCCTCTGTCTTCTCACCCGTAACTAATCCTGTCTACGGGGAATAGTCACGGAGGGTCCCTGCCCGCATTCCTCAGGGCTGGCCGCCGTGACACCCAGCCATGCACTTTCCACCTGCCCCACGGCTTTCGCTAGTGGCCGAGCCCCCCTGAGCCCACAGCGTGCCGAAAACACTAGGCGGTTGACGCCATCCAGGGAGCAGCCGCTCCGCCGATGACTCGTGGAAGCTGGTTGTGTAAGTATGTCCTTCAGGTATTCTAGATGCCCTTGGGTAGAGGACAACCCTGGGTTGAGTTCTGCACTGGCTCCCAGAGACCCTCCACAGCACTGGGACCCCGCGGCCCACAGGGGGAACCTGCTGGTAGCAGGTCCTCCATCGGTTGCCTTCCCTCCTGTCTCTCTTCCCCACCCCCTACCTGTGCCCTGCTCACATCGCCGATCAGGGGGACCCACCTGACCCAGGATCATGAGGCATGTGTGGTCCTCTCTTTCAATGGTAGCCTCCTTGCTGCCCTGGGGTCTACTTTGCTCTACTCAGTGTATTCTTCTGGTCTAATTCCTCCGTGCCTCTGCAGTATGAACAGGGGACTTACCGCTTGCCTCCCAGAACAAGTGGAAGCTAGCGGCTGGCAACTGCCTTCACCAACCCATCCTTAACTTCTGTAGGGCCTGAGAGAAATTTTTTTTTTAAATATTTTATTTATTTTTGAGAGAGAGATGGAGACAGCATGAGCAGGGGAGGATCAGAGAGAGAGGGAGGCACAGAATCTGAAACAGGCTCCAGGCTCCGAGCTGTCAGCACAGAGCCCGACGCGGGGCTCGAACCCACGAACCGTGAGACCATGACCTGAGCCAAAGTCGGACGCTCAACCGACTGAGCCACCTATGCGCCTCTGAGGGAAAATTTTTTATTTTTTTTATTTTTTTAATCTTTTTTTTTTTTTTTTTTTTTAATTTTAGGAGAGAGAGAGAGACAGTGTGAGCAGGGGAGGGTCAGAGAGAGAGGGAGTCACAGACACTGAAACAGGCTCCAGGCTCTGAGCTGGCAGTCAGCACAGAGCCCGACGCGGGGCTCGAACCCACGAACTGCGAGATCATGACCTAAGCGAAAGTCGGACGTTCAACCGACTAAGCCACCCAGGCGCCCCTGAGGGAAAATTTTTTAAATGAAGACTTTTACTCTCCCTCCACCTCCCACCCATCCTCACCCCACCCCTGGCAAATCCACAAAGAGCCTCATGCACCCGGATGTTGACTATAGAAGGTGGGACAGCTCCCCACATCTGTGCTCTGTCTACACTCCCTGCAAATGGCCGCCCCTTTGCCAGCCCTCAGACCAGCGGTGAGGCCAGCCCTCAGGAGGAGGGCCACACAGACCCTGGGTCCTGGAGTCCCAGGCACCACAGCACGTTCTAGAAGGGGATGCAGGAGTCTGGGGGGGAGAGGGAGAAACATGGAATACAACTAGAGCTGGTTCCTCTGAAATACGGGGTGCAAGAGTGGTTTCTGGGGGTTAAGAGTAGTATTAGCCTTCCCCCCAGCTGGGGTACTTCCAACCCCCAGTTCAGCACGCCTTCCTGCGTCTGCCCTCACCGCCCCCACCTACCCCTCCTGTGCAAAGGAGGGTGAGTTCCTCTATCAGAGGCCAGTGGCTCCCCGGGTCCCTCATCCTGAACGTAGGACCAGGGAGAGGCGGGAGGTGAGTGAAGCAAGCCCTGGCCTTGGGAACGGGAGGGACAAGGTTTCAGTTCCGGTCCCGCCATCCACTGGCCAAACCCATGTTTCCTCACTCGCAAAGCGGGGGCGACACTGCCTGCTTTGTCCCCTGCTATAGCTGCCGCAAAGGTTACAGGAGATAATTCGGGGAAAAGTGCTCACCAAGCTGGACAGTTTACAAAGCCTAAGGAGATAGTATTACTCCGGGTTGCCATCCTGACTGTATACAGTTTAGGGAAGAAGACAGTGCCCGGAGCTTGGGAAAATGGCTTCTCCGGGCCTTGGCCAATGTCTTCAGACAACCAGGTAATTTGTTTCCCTCCCATCACTGGACAGTTGTGTAAGGTTTCTTTTTTTATTTCTTTTTTTTTTAGTATTTTTTATTTATTTCTAGGAGAGAGAGAGACAGCACGAGCAGGGGAGGGTCAGAGAGAGAGGGAGTCACAGACAGAAACAGGCTCCAGGCTCTGAGCTGGCAGTCAGCACAGAGCCCGACGCGGGGCTCGAACCCACGAACCGCGAGATCATGACCTAAGCGAAAGTCGGACGCTTAACCGACTAAGCCACCCAGGAGCCCCTCTTTTTTTATTTCTTCATGCTATTCATGGGGGGCGGAGATTTTTTTAAGTGTATTTATTTTGAAAGAGAGAAAGTGTGTGAGAATGAGCAGGGGAGGAGCAGAGAGAGAGGGAGAGAGAATCCCAAGCAGGCTTCACACTGTCAGCGCAGAGCCCAACACAGGGCTTGATCTCATGAACCATGAGATCATCACTTGAGCTGAAATCAAGAGTCGGACGCTTAACCAACTGAGCCACTCAGGTGCCCTGGGGGGGGGGGCTGAGATTCTTAAGTAAAATGTCCCATAAAAGAGCCAAATGCCATTATCTAAAGGAGATTTTACTATAATCCTTCAGAAGAGCAGCCCCAGAATGGTAGGTCAAACTTACCTACAAAGCTGAGTTAATATTAGTTTCTTTTTTATCTTATAAAAATTTAAAAAGCTTCTATTTCAAATATAGCCTTCGAACAGTCACTAAGAGCAGGAAGACATGGAAAGGACTCATGAGATCAAGGGTAAGGGCTAAATGAGATTCAAATAACAGTTGATTTTCTTGGCTCCTACAGCCGTCTAGCTGAGAAGGGCTTTTACATTTTTAAAGAGTCATGGGAGACCAAAAATAACAATAAAAAAGAATATATGTGACAGAGACTATAATTACCTTTAAAGCCTAAAATATGTAGTATTTAGCCCTTGACAGAAAAAGCTCGCCAACGTCTGCCCAATGACTGAAGGACTCTCTTCCCCTTCATTTGACAGCCCTGCACAGGATCACCTCCGATCACCCTTATGTCCAAGGCTGGGGTGGTGTCCATCGTTCTCAGACTGTCGGACACCATCGGAGAGGCCATTTGGGGCCAGACTTATCAGAAGGGCTATGAGTAGCCTCTGAAACTGAGCATAAGGTCCTGAGTTAATTTTTCGAGGGGAAGCGTCAGAGGGATCCTGGCACACTTTTAGACTCAAGAGAGGTTGCACAGATACAACTCAAGGAGACCTTTTAAAGTCACTGATGTCTGGTTCACCAGGTCAGGCTAGTAGAGGAGCTGGGTCTCCTGGTCTTCACCCACGATCAGGGTTGTGTGGTCGTGGGGAATGTACAGACTGCCGGGGCTTTGGTAGCCGTCTGTAATTCTTGGCTACAAGGTCGAGCTTTGGCTCCAACAGTCAGGAGTCGAAGCAAGGCCACACAGTCCTTGGAGAGGCATCACCATTATCGATCTGTGGGGTCAACCATCACAGAGCCAGTACCTCCAACTTCTCCCCTGGGTCTCAGACCAAAGGTCCTTCGGTTCTTCCTTGGTCTTCCCCCACTGGGGATGGGGTCACTCATCTGATTCATGGCCTTAGAATAACGGATGTCACAGCCCATCCCTTCGGCGCCAATCCCTTTGCACTTACCTTCAGTCCTGGAAGGAGGATCTCTTTATGGTGAAACTGGATGAATGTGAGAGTCACAAGCACCACGACACTCAAAATCAAGACCACCAAGGCGATGACGGCTGGCGTTCGGGAGAGGGCCTTGAAGCCTAACACGGAAAGACGCGGAAGACACATGAGGGGAAAGTAGGGACAAGGCACTGGCTTTCTTTTTAGATCCGTGGGCTGGGTGCACCACTGCATGCCTACGTCACCTCCTCTGGCTTCAGTGAGGCCCACGCGTTTAAGGTGGAGAAGTGACTGGGCTCCAAGGCCCAGTTAGCCTTCCTCCAGAGAGTGAGCTGAAACTCCATTTGCAGAGAAGGTGTGCATGGTTTAGTTTCCTGGTATCTCCCGAAATGTGTTTCGCACATTATCGGTCAGCCCTGAGATGATTTACAATAGCAGTTATTTCAATGTAGATTTAAAAAATGTGAGTTTTCTATTAAAGCGGCTGATATAATATTTCATTTAAAAATAATATCAGACAAGTAAAAAGAGATTAATACTATGATTCAGACATAGTCAATGATTACAAAGTTCAGTACTCAGTGACATACTGTCAAGGAAACAGTAACGTGTATGAATTTCTAACATATTTGAGTTCCTGGTAAGAAGTCAACCTCAGCCAATTTTCCTGTGTCTGCGGTGAAGATATAGGGTTTCACCTACACTTTCACAAAGAAAGAATAAACTACACCCCAAGCCACGTGTCACTTCCAAAGGGGTCATATCATCTCTGGTATTTGTATTTTAGTAAAAGGTGAAAGATTTATGCGATCTGAAGAGAAACCAGAGTATCTGGTATTTGTGTTTTAATCACAACATGTAAACTATACTAACTTAAAAGCAAAAAAAAAAAAAAAAAAAAGCAGCATATGAATCATCTTTATTTAAATACATAGCCTCGGAATAAAGATAAATTATATCTGTATTCTGTAAAAGTATATGATTATCATGATAGACTAATGATTAATTAATACCACTTAACTAGATCATTTGTAAAATTTTTTTTAATGTTTTATTTATTTTTGAGACAGAGAGAGACAGAGAATGAGAGGGAGAGGGGCAGAGAGAGAGGGAGACACAGAATCTGAAGCAGGGTCCAGGCTCTGAGCTGTCAGCACTGAGCCAGACGCGGGGCTCGAACCACGAATCATGAGATCATGACCTGAGCCAAAGTTGTACACTTAACCAACTGAGCCACCCAGGTGCCCCACTTAACTAGAGCATTTTGACCAGATATTTACTTAGGTCTTCACAAACCAGTATGGGCTAATGGAAATTTCATAAATACAGTAGCAGATATTTTTTTAAAGAAAGAAAGAAACAAATACTGTTCTATACTGAAATGATTCCATTCATGTGAAGTTCTCAAACAGGCTGGTGACTGAGATCAGGACAGTGATTGTCCAGAGGGTTGGGGCAGGGGTTCCCTGGGAAAGAACACAGGGGCACTTTCTCGGGTAACAGAAATGTGCTATATCTTCACAGAATTGTGGGGTATATGGGTGTGTGCTTCTGTCAAAATTCATCAAAACTTTCAAAGCCCTTTGAGGAAAACGTGAAAATCAAAGCAAACCAGCTGCTTAGGTACAATTTCCCTTAAAAAAAAAAAAAAAAAGTCCCATCCTGGGGCGCCTCAGGGGCTCAGTCAGTTTAGTGTCTGATTTTAGCTCAGGTCATGATCTTACAGTTCGTGGGTTCAAGCCCTGTGTGAGGCTCTGTGCTGACAGCATGGAGTCTTCTTGGGATTCTCTCTCTCTCACTCTCTCTCTACCCCTCCCCTGCTTGTGTTCCATCTCTCTCTCTCAAAATAAAGAAATAAACATGGCAAAAATTAAAAAAAAATTTTTAAAATTGCCCCATACTTCATCTTTTGGAAGATGAAGTCACCCAAATTAGGGGCACAACTTAAGATCTATCCATATCACTGTATATAAATTATATATATATATATATGCAGATTTTAATATAAGATTAAAGATTAAGACTATTATTTAGTCAATGAAAATACTGACTAAATAATCGTCTTGGTAGAACTAGTATGACATAAATATAAATGGTGATACCCAATTGGCTAAAATCTGATAAACACGAGCATCACAGAAAGATCACTGGATTCAGAGAATCCCAATATGTCTCTTACCAATTGGGCATTTTATTTCTTTCTTTATTTCTTTATTTATTTAACATAATTGATTGTCAAGACAGCTAACATCCAGTGTATACAGTGGGCTCTTGGTTTCGGGGGTAGAGTTCCATGACTCATCACTTACACACAACACCCAGTGCTCATCCTAACAAATGCCCTCCTCAATGCCCATGACATTTGCCCCTCGCCCCCACCCCCATCAGCCCTCAGTTTATTCTCTGTATTTAAGCGTCTCTTATGGTTTGCCTCCCTGTCTGTTTGAAACAATTTTACCCCTTCTCTTCCCCCATGGTCCTCTGTTAAGTTTCTCAAGTTCCACGTGAGTGAAAATATATGATATCTGTTGTTCTCAGACTTATTCCATTTAGCATAATACACTCCAGTTCATCCGTGTTGTTGCAAATGGCAGGATTTCATTCTTTCTCATTGCCTAGCAGTATTCTACTGTATATATAAGCCACACCTTCTTTATCCATTCATCTGTTGATGGAGATTTGGGCTCTTTCCATAATTTGGCTATTGTTGAAAGCGCTGCCATAAACATCACCAATTGGGCATTTAAATGTAGATGAATTAATCAGGGCGCCTATGTGGCTCAGTCGGTTAATCTGTCCAACCATGATCTCATGGTTCGCAGGTTTGAGCCTCGCATTGGGCTCTGTGCTGACAGCTCAGAGCCTGGAGCCTGCCTCGGATTCTGTGTCTCCCTCTCTCTGCCCCTCCCTGCTTATGCTCTGTCTCTCTCTGTCTCTCAAAAATAAATAAGCCTTAAAAAAATGAATGTAGTTGAGTTAAAATAAAACTAAAAACTCAGTTCCTCAGTCTCACTAGCCACATTTCCGCTATTCCAGAAAGTTCTACTGAGCAATGGATGGTAGATCCTGCCCTATTCTAGAACATTTACTTTTAGATCATACAACCTATGCTTCACTCCTTCATTGTTGCTAGGAGACATTTTTCTGGAAAGAAAAAAGGTCACGTGTCTACGGCCATGTAGAATTAGGTTCCGCCTCAGTATCCAATCCTATCGCGGTACTGACTAGCCGGCGAGCTCAGTCATGTAGGGCATCTCAGTAGATCAGAACAGCCAGCTCTTTTTGCCCATTCTGAATTCCCTGAGGTACAGACACTGCCTGTTACTGAAGATGGTCACTGAACAGGTAAATTCTCCTCCCTTGTCACTGGGAGTGTAAGCCGGCAACGGAGGGCCGTTTGTCCATACTTATCAAAGGTGCAAAGGTGTGTACCATCTGACTTGCAATCCCACTTCTGAGAACTCATTCCACGGAACTAGCTGCGTGTATGCAAAACGACTTGTACCTAAAGTTACTCACTGCAGAACTGTATGTGATAGCAACCAGAGTGAGGCCTGCCCCTGTGGAGTTGACCTTCAGAGCCTCTGAAAGCGTCCCCCATCACTTCCCTGTGAGTCCGGATAAAAGTACGTGAACTAGCCAGACAGCAGTTTACCCACAGACGGAAGTCTCTGCATCCATGTTTAAAGAATATGTCACAGGGGCGCCTGGGTGGCTCAGTCGGTTAAGCGTCTGACTTTGGCTCAGGTCATGATCTCGCGGTTCGTGGGTTTGAGCCCCGCGTCGGGCTCTGTGCTCAACGTTTGCTCAGAGCCTGGAGCCTGTTTCAGATTCTGTGTCTCCCTCTCTCTCTGCCCCTCCCCTGCTAACACTGTGTCTCACTGTCTCTCAAAAATAAATAAATGTAAAAATTTAAAAAAAAGTTTTTAAAAAGAGTATGTCACATGTCAGTGTCAGTTTTAGAGGCTTAAGGCATTCCCCCCCCCCAACAAGAAGTGGCAGAGTTTTAATTTGCTAAGTTAAACAATGTAACAATTTAGTCTGATGGGTGGTGGTAAAATTTCAAAGCGGTTTTTGGGGGAAAACCTGGAAATCAAAGTCAACTAGCTCTTCAGGTACAATTTCCTTCTACAGAACAGATTTGTACCAATTGCCTACTATCCTAAAATCACATCCGTCTGGAAGACTAGAATGCCCAGGTTCGGGTCCTGACGAAGGAACATCTGTCCAGGGCGGGGAGGGGGTGACAGGCAGGCAGCGGCTGACCACACCGCGCGGCCGGCCTCCTCCGTCCTGCGCTTCACCAGTTTCCAGGTAAAAAGCTATGACTCCCTGAAGCAATCCTTTGCCCCAGCAGAAAAGCCTATCACACAGCAAAACGGGCCAGACCAGGACTCGGTCGTTTAGGGGCTGCCGCGCCGGGCTGAGCTGTCATTAGAGTGAACAAACACCGTAATCACAAGGTGTGTAGCTGGCAGTGCGGCGGCCAGGCCCTTCTGGGTTGTACGGGAACAAGTGTAACACACGGTCCCGCAGCGCGTGGGCGAGCTCTGCACAGGTGCCTCCAGCATCAAGGGCATCGGGGGACCGGCTGCCGCCGGCGCTGTAGCAGCTACGACCCTGGGGTGGAGACAGAGCTCGGAGCCAAGTACCTTGCCCTGCATCCCAAAACCGACAGTATTCTGCGGCAAACCTTGCGCACAGCCTGGTAAGGGAAACCACAAACGGCCGCATGAACGGATTATGCAAACCGGAAAAACCATTTAGGCGAAACATGCATGTTACTCCTTGTTTTGTTCGGCTCGGGTGAAAAGCCTTTCTCGGGCCCGAGGAGGGCCCGGCGGTGAAAGCCCGGCAAGCAACCGAGGCTCGGACGGGAGAGCTCAGAGTCGCTGGCGGGCGGCACGCGCGAAAACCCGGGGCCGAGGCGGGGGCTGCGAGCGGCCGCGGCCACACCCGCTCTGCGCCCAGGTACTAACCTGCTTGCTCCCAGGGCCGGCGGGTCAGCACCGCGGACATCCTCCTCTCCGGCTGCGCGCCGACGGGGCTCCAGGCTCCAAGGCCGTGCGGGGTCACCCCCGGCGCGGGGGCGCAGCGACCCGGCGTCCGTGCAGGGCGGGAGGGGGCGGCACGGAGGCCCCGCGCTGCCCCTCAGCCCTGCTTTCAGGCAAAAAGGCTGTGACGCCGTCCAGCAAGATCTCCCTGTGCCGGCAGAGAAGCCCATCCCAAGGCAAACCCGCTTTCAGACCCGCCTCACTTCTTCCGAATCAAAGCCTCCTGGGGGACAGATACACCCGGGGCCTCGCACGTAGCCCCACAGCCAGGCTTCGATTCTAGCGTCCCCTCCCCCGACGCGAGGAAACGAACGGGTTTGCCTACATTTTAAACTCAAAATTAAAATAAAAAGGAGAAGTCGGTCGTTTCCCGCAGACTCTCCACCTGCGCGCAGCCGGCGGGACGCGCCCTCCACCCGGTAAGTCAGCGGCCGAGGCCGGCGCTCCGTCAGCGCCGCAGCCGGGGCCCCGTGGGGCCCGCGACCCCGGAGGACCCCGGGGGCTCCTCGGGGCCGCTGGCGGGAAACGACTGCAAGGGCACCCCGGCCGCGGGATGCGGCGCCCCGGGGTCCGGCGGCCCGGCTCGCGCACTGCGGCCCCGCGCGGCCGGGACGGCGAAGCGCCGGCGCACCCCCGGCCGCCCGAGGTCGGGGCGCGCGCCCCCCGCCGCCCCCCGCCTCCCGCTGCGGATCCCGGCTCCGCCCCTGCCCCCCCAGCCCCCTCCCTCGGCGGCCGGGGCGCGGGGTCCCCGGTCCCCACCTGCGCGCGGGCGGGCGGCGGGGCGAGCTGCGCTGCGGCAGACGGAGCCGGCGGCCAGCGCGGGGGAGGCGCTGCGGGGCGGGGCGGGCGGGCGGCGCGGCGGCTCCGCCCCCTCGGCGGGGTCACGGCCCCGCACCTCTTCCGCACCTCCCCCTTCCAGCGCCCCCCACCCCTCGCGCCAGGACCACCTGGGGGAGGCGAGGAGGGCGTCGCTGCCTGAGCCCCTCCTCCGTCAACGTCAGGGCCGCGAACGCTCGGATCGGTCCTTTGGTTTCCTCCACCCCCCGCGGCCTGACGGGGGGGGGGGAGGGGGGGGCAGCGCTCCGCGGAGGGCGCGCGGCCTGGGGGGGACGCCGGGCAGCGCCTGCGACCTGAGTGCCAGGCTGGCGGGCACGCTGCTCCCGGGTCACTGGGTCGCCGGCCGGTCCTCTCCTGTGGTCTAAAGACCTGGGGTGGCCCTGCCCAAGGGCCCCTCACCGGGTCCTCAGCAGCGCGAGCCTCAGCCCCCGGCCCTGCCTGCCTCCCCCTCCCTCCCTCCCTTCCTTGCCTCCCTTCCTTGCCTTCCTTCCTCCCTCCCCCTCCTTCCCTCCCTTTCCTCCCCCCTCCCCCCTCCTTCCCTCCCTTCCTCCCTCCCCCTTCCCTCCCCCCTCCCTCCCTTCCT